TTGTTCTGTGTGATGTACAGTAAACTGTCAAAAAACTGTCATTAAATATAAGTTACTCATTTTCCACAGAAGCCTCAACAACTAAATATAAAATCATCTTTTTCAGTGTTTAGTGTGTCCACTCTTTGCCTTTATTACAGCTTCTATTCTTTTCAGGAGACTCGCTTTAGTTTTCCAAGAAATCTGCAGGGGATGTTTTTCCAAATATTCCTCCAAAGTTCAGTCCTAGAAGTTGGTTGCATTTTTTGCTTCTCACCCTCCAAATAATCCCAAACACATTCAACGATGTTGGGGTCTGGATTGGGGTGGTCAGTCCCTTATTCTGAGAACACCAGCAGCTTCCCTGCTTGATTTGCAAATTTTCTTCTTTTTTGTCTATTTCCTTTTCTCAGTGAGGGCTTCTTGACAGCAACACATCTTTTCAGACTCTTAATGTTGAGTTGTCTTCTAATAGTGGAAGGATGGACAGAAACACCTGTGGATTTTTTCAGGTCTGAAGCAAGAGTGGAGCTGACATGGTCAGTCCATTGTTTTGAGAACATGAGGAGCTTTGTTGATTTTCTCCTCTCTCTCAAAGCTGAAGGCTTTAAGGTCTGTTTATTTGATGGTGGCAGTTTTGTTGGTCTACTAGGTCTTGTACAGTTGCTAGGAGACACACTCTTCCTTATGCAAGTGGATTATCTTAAATATGATCTCTTCAAGAACATATCCTGCAAAATGAATAACTTTTATTTAATAGTCATTTAGAATATATATATTAAAAAATTGAATGCTTTTATTCTTTTATGTTAGTGTCATGCCTGCCTGACTGTGTGATTGTTCTCATGACTCTTTGATTTTTGCTTATGAAATCATATGAATTCTGTGTTCCCTATCTTCTCTAGAACATGGTGACCAAGCGGTCTTATTAACCACCTCAAGGCTTCTTTAATACAGAGACATTATTGAAGTAGATAGGTATGGAGGTAATACATTGTCCTATATGGTTATGACATCATATTTGAAAGTTCCAGTACAAGATAAAGAATTTAAATTTGCAAATGAAATTCAGTTGCCTATTTAAATAACATGAACCAAGTGCTGCGTCTACAGTAAGAGGTATTTTGTCCATTTTATATACAACAATTAATTAATCAATAAGCAATTTTCCTGCTATTTGACTAGTGCATAATGTAGCTGTAACAGGTTGTCCCCATCAGTGAACCGGGGGTGTTTTATGTTTAACTAGTGTGAGCTGAGAGAAGAAGCTGCTGTGAAAATGGAACTGATATAGCAAGACTGCCCTGTGATTAAAGGGGTACTTGCTTATATGACGAATGCTTGTTCTCTGATTGTGTTTTCTTTCTTTATTAGAACTGGAACAGCCCTGGAGGAGGATGCAGACAGACAGACAGACAAATCAATAAGTAAAGGTAGCTACTAAATAATTTGTAATAGTTAAACTGAAAATACAACAGAAGTAACTGGATAATAAGTCTAGAGTTCAGTGGGTTAACAGTCCTCTTCCTGTTCCAGGCGTCGGTGAAGCTGCTGTGTGGGAGGATGGTTAGGTTTTCCTCTCTGGTGGTGAGAACCCACATTGTGTGTGTGCCGTCACTAGAGGGCAGAGATGTGCTGTAGCGCTCTGGTTCACTCTGGATCCCCTCTACAGAAAACTGATGAGTCTTCTACAGCTGCTCTATTCACAATACTTCTTACACCATAGTAAAACTATAAAAAAAGACCTATAAAACTCACTACATGCTGAGACATAATATATAGTTTTTGTGTACCTACAGAGTTTATGAGGAAGATTGACACTTCTGGTGTTTTCTGAAATCTAACTCACCTGTTTAGGAGCCCCACCATACTATATATCAGTGGTTCCCTCCCTGGTCCTGGAGGCCCACTGCTCTGCACACTTCAGTGCTCCAACACACCTGATTCAAATACTCAGCTCATTAACAAGCAGTTCCTGATCTGGTAAAAGTATGTTACATTGTTTCAGTCTCTAAAAGGATCAGATATTGTTTGCTGTCACTCTCTAATTCTGTGGACATGATTTGGTTAGTATGACGGGTACAGACTGTGCATTTGTATCTTTTGAAATCAAACACAACAACATTTAAATCTCTGGAGCATCACAGATATTAACAATTGATGGTACAGTTTTTAATATTTGGGAATTTTAGCATTATTTCATTTTCACAAAAAATATCTAAAGATATGTTACAGACATAATAATAATGAAAAACATGCTGACTATGATCATATTCATAGGATTTTGTATTTACTGTACATGCTTTGATATGCCACTCTGTGGATGCTGTTTGCACTGTTTTTCAAAGGGGAATTCCACCGAATTTTCCAAATGTCAGTATAAAGAAATGTTTTAGATGTGAACAAATTCAGAGTGGTTTGATGTGAAATACTCTGTTCTAAAGAAACTTTCTCAGTCAGAATTGTTCACAGTGGTAGTGAAAAGATCAAGGTGTTGACAAGAAAAAAAAAACGGTTTTATAGTTGCTTTTATTGTTTTTAATAAACAACAGATTACTAGGAATTGGCGTTTCTCACAGCAGTTTGCTAACAATGACCATGTTTAACAAAAGCTCGCTAGGAATTACAATATCTCACAACAAATCACTAGAAATTATCATATTTCACAACAGGTCACCAGGAATTTCAATATCTCATCACAGATCACTAGGAATAACACCTCACAATGGATCACCAGGAATGACAATAGCTCACAACAGTTCACTAGGGATTAGGGACACAAAAATTTGACCCAGTATTGCGGATCGAGAGGTTTTTTTATGTTGCACACCATTTTGCTTCATATCACCACCACTACAAATTATAAACTTGAGGCACTATGGAATTGCAATACCTTCCAACAGATCAAAAGGAATCACCATATCTCATAATGGATCACTATGAATTACCATATATCACAACAGATCTCCTAGAATTGCCATTTATCACAACAGATCACTGGGAATAACACTTCACAACAGACAACCAGGAATTACTATAGAATCACAACAGATCACCAGGAACTGACATATCTCATAACAGATCACTAGGAATAACCACGTCTTACACCATAACAGCAGGAATTGCCATATCTAATAACAGATCATTAGGAATTACTATATCTCACAATAGATCACCAGGAATTACTATATCTCACAACCGATTACTAGGAATTAGCATATCTCACAACAGACGACCAGGAATTACAGATGACCAGGAATTACTGTATCTCACAACAGATCACCAGGAATGACCATATCTTACAACAAATCACCAGGAGTTACTATAGTTCATGACAGATCGCTAGGAATAACACCAAACAGCAGATCACCAGGAATTGCTATATCTCACAACAGATCACTAGGAATGACCATATCTCATATTACATCACCAGGAATTACACTAATTCTCATTTGAAAATCCTGACTTATGCACAGTAAACACTGATTTATTATTATTATTTTTTTACATATTGCACTCCATTTACTCTTTATTTATTTACCTTGTTTGTCTTAGAAATAATTAAAGACACCAGAAGATTTGACTGGTTCACACATTAAAGATGAAGTTCCTCAAAAAAGACATGCATCTAAACATTTCCAGTCAATGACGAACAGACGCTGTACACATCATCAGCATCTCAGTGGTGTTTCCATTCATGCCAGGAAGCGGTGGAGCTTTGTCTAGGTTGTACTTGTAAACCGACTCAGCTGAGCAGTAAAAGGAAACAGTGGCGCCATTTCTAACAGAATTCAAACACGAAGTATGATTTTCTCATTAGGACTGAATAAAACAACATTTTTAAAGTGGTCTTCATTCTAGCATTATTAGTGCTTCACTGAATATTGGCTTAGACCTGTTGTTGGAAGTGTGAAGCCACATTCAGATGAGGCCTGTTGTACTCTGTTCTGTTTTCTACTGCTGTCTTCTACCTGGTGCAGATCTGTTCTTGTGCTCTTGGTTTAGTGAAGAGTGCCTTTGAACATACCAACGAACTGAATTACATGTGTGTGTTTCTCAGCTTCATGTTTGGGGGCTGCGCTGTGTCGTTCTGATTCTTGTTTGGCCTTCATGTGGTTGACCTGTTTTCACACTGTTACAGCCTGCGTGTCGACTCAATGCTTGTCGGCTATTCGGCTGACATTTCCTCTCTTAGAATTTGCTTTAACTTTACTCCTGCAAAGCTTGAATCACACTAGCAGAAGGCCTGTTCACTCTCTTCATACAGCCCGTGCTTCTCACTTTTACGGTCAATTACAAATTTACTGTTGTTTTTCTCACGCTTTATTCTTTCTCACCTCCACCACAACAGGAGAACTCACACTCTTGTGCGGTAACAACTCGTCAATGAATCGCTCTTTTGAACCGGTTCATAACTCTAACTGAATCACTTGTTTGAATGTCTACCCAAAGTTTACGTTATTGTTAGACTTTTTCGATGTGTAGTATAACATAGAATACAAAACTGTGCCATGCTTAGAGCTATTTTTATTATTATGTTGCCTATTTTTCCCTCATAAAACGCTAGAACGAATCGTTCTAAACGGTTCAAGTCCAAATAAAATTTTTTGGAATACCTAGCCTACACAGTGCTTCAGTGTTAAACTCATTTCTACTAGCATTTATTCTCAATTATGTTATATTTTATGTTACATTCTACAATAAAATATCACATTTCTAATTGTTCGCTAGACCGTAGAATGAACCGCTATTTTGAGTCGGTTCTACTACAGACTTTTGGAGCGTCTGCTCAAATTTTACGTCATGGTGAAGCTTATTTAAATAATAATCTTTCACAGCGATGTGATATTTTATGATGATAATTGTATAATATAACAAAAACTTGTGAATCTGTGAACCGGACGATTGATTCATTGGAGAATCGATTCTGTAAAACGGAATCGAATCTACCCTCGGTAGACTGTGGCGATCAGTGAAAGCGAGCTCTCTTGTGCAGTCACTTCCCTCTTGTTAGGTTTTTGTTCTTTTTTTTCAGCTCGGGCTCTTCAGTATGACCACAAAGGAACCTGCCTAGCTAACTGACTGCTCAGGCAAAAGCCCACAAACCAGTAAGCAGCACGTTAGTAACCTTTCACACAGTATAATTAGAGGATTTTGTATAATATTATTGTGGCACGGCTCGTTCACTCTCAGTGTTGTGGATGTGGCTCCTCTGAAGACACTCGTTGTGGATCTATGCTCATTGCTTTGGTCAGACCAGAAGCTTCTGGACGCAGCTTCTCTCGGCTAGAGGAATGGACAGGTTGTGCGTCAGGACCGTTCTGCCCTTTCTGCTGATGTTCACAGGTCAGACAGAATACACTCACCTTAGCTAAGAAATGTAGCTAAGGCTAATAAAAGTAGACAGTAACTCAGTTTTGTTCTCTTTTTTATGAATGCGTTTTATCGCTTCTATGGATATCAATAGGTTTGTATGACTTTAATAAACTTTATTTATTCATAAATCCTGCACTAATAAGTTCCCTTAAAATGTTTGATTAAACGGAGCTTCTCACACATGATAGTATGGTCTTGTACACACTCAAGGGTTCTTTAGTAAGGGCAGTGGTTCTGTATAGAGCCATTTATAGTTCTATATAGAGCCATTTCATGCTTAAATGGTTCTCTGCATAGTCAAATTGTTGTTTAGATTGAAAATGGTTTCATGTAACACCAAAATGGGGCCTTATATTTGTACAAGCTAGAAATCGTAACAATAGCAGAACCCTTTTTGGTGCCACAGAGAACCATTCCACCATGCAAAGAACCACTTAAGCATGAAATGGTTCTATATAGAAACTATGGTAGAATTGTTCGAATAGAACCAGTAGAACCATTGACCATATATATATATATATATATATATATATATATATATATATATATATATATGGTTAGTTTTATGTAGAAGATTTCATGAAAAACCCAGAAAATGGAGAGAAAATCTGAAACAAAAATACTCTGCATAAAAAAATTGTAAAACTAGTTAAAATAATAATAATAATAATAATAATAATAATAATAATGATAAACTTACACAATTAATTTGTGATTGTACAAACATTGTCTGTGATTTCTATTGATCATTTAGAATACATTGGTCGTATCTCACTGAGCAGTTCACGCTAAAATTGCTCATCACTTCTCTAACATCTCAGCCAACAGAATTAAGATCATGATGGAGAAAATGTTTTCTGCATTATGTTTTTGTTGACTTGCTGTGTTTCATGTTTTCCCAGTTTTCCAGTTGACTTTTAATTCTTCTGCTTTTTTCTACAGTGGGAGTGATTGTTAAAAGCACAATCCAGGACACAGTTAAACCTCTGATACCAGCGACAGTTGAAGCGTGTTTAGGCTCCTCTGCAATCATCAACTGCACTTTCCAGATAAATGCTACACATCTCAAAGTGAACTGGTATTTCAATGACACACCTGACTTCAGCAGATTTAAGAAGATAGAAGTCCATGATGAACGATATCACCAAGAAAAAAAAGACAATTGGTCAAGACTGACTATTAAAGAGGTTCTGTCTAATGACAGCGGATGGTATTTTTGCGAGGTTACACAGGATATTCCTGTACTTGTGCAGTTCCAGAGTAATGGATCTTATTTAAAGATCATCGGTAAGTACTGTGTCAAACAGGAAAGATTTCAGTAGGAAGTATGAGAGAATCCCGAAGAATTAATAAAGAGTCTGAACATGTCTGAAAGTGTAAACCTGTGTTCTCATATACATGCATTTACATATTATTTACTGTGTACATTACTACTTCATGTAAGGAGGATACTTTTAAAATTAGGGACAAATGAACTAATTTTTCACTACGTCTCTTGTTAAAACACCCTAAAAATAACCTCTTTGTAAGAATTTGACCGGACCATTTACATTTCTTATAGTTGGATAAATAAATCATCCTTTGAGGCACTCTGTAAAGTAGATATCTTTATATTTATCATGATAGAATCTCATAACCACAAAATTGGGTTATATTGCGTAATACTGTATTTGTCTTATCTCCTATTATCAGATTCAACCACAAAGAGCAGGACTAATACAACAACAGCTGCAACTACAACATGTGGTAAATAATCAAATCTTTGATTGATTGTTTGTTCAATGCAAGCTTCTTCTGTAGTCACCCGAGGCACATCATCAGTACATGAACTTGTTTTGAATTTTATTGCAGATCTAATAAGACAGGCTGAAAACCATGCTTATTATTATCACAGCATTTTGCCAGTCACTGCACTGAACCTGGTTTGCTGATGCATTGCAGTGTTAACTGATAGAGAAATTTGTGAGAGTGTGTGGGATTTTTACAGCAGAGCGGTTCTCACTTCCAGTCCTGGAAAGCTCATTTGCTGTTGTATGCGTAAGTTTGGGCACCCCTGGTCAAATCACGTTTTGTTGACTTTCTAAGTGAAAATAAGTTACACATCCTCTTCAGAGAACACACTTCTGCACAATTTAATGCACAACTACTGCTTATTTGCTTAATCTGACGCAAAACTAAAACATAAAATATGGCCTGTTCAAAAGTTATGGCACATTTTATGTTTTTTGTTTTATTTTCCCTTACAGAAAAATGAATTTCACATGTGACTTTTGCATACTTCATGTTACTTTTCCCCAAAAAAATGTGAATGTGAAACCACAAGAAAAGTGTTGCCATTTTATATCACATTTGAATAATGTGATCACATGTTATTCACATGTATTTCGCTGTTGTTGGAATAAAACCTTGTGTCTTCAAAACAGTAACTTTACAGGAAAAGGAAAAAATGACTTTACTTTTAATGCAAGTCAATGGAAGTAATTTTGGGTAATTTCTTTTGGCCCATTCACAGTGAAATTTACACATAATGTAAAGGGCAACATGCATTTTCAAATGATGTCAAAAACAGAAAAATGGAGATACAAGGTTTTGTTCCAACAGCAGCGATTTACTTGGAAGCACTTGTGGTTTTTAGACACTTCACATGTGAAGCATATTTTTCTGTAAGCTTTACTATTATGCAAAACTCAGCAAAATGCTGATAAGTTAAATTTGTTCCCTGTAAATAATACGTTAACTTGTCTTAAAGTGTAATTTAACTGAGGATGTTCAAACTTCTTTACATAAAACTGAATTACGTATTTTGCGTTGTACTGTTTCCACACTCATCATGCTGCAATGTCTGGAGCACCTTTAATGACATTTGTGAATCTACGTTCTTAAGTGGTCATCTGGAGATTGGGGCCTTGTTCTTCATCATTTTATAGTGACTGCTGCTCCAGAGCTGCAAAAACTGCTCTTTCCTTTTCTTACAGTGAAAGTTGAACTGAAAACAGAAATAACCATTTATGTGCTTCGCAACACCACAAGCAAAAAAATGGGCTGCGTAGAAAACGAAGGAAAACACATGCTTCTGTACATCGCCAAAGGGATTCATTTAGGAGGCAATCACATTAGCTGAGAATCTGGCCTAATCACGTGTCAACAGGGCAGTTTCTCAGACAAGGATTAAGCCTAGTTTTGGACTACACAGGACTTTGAATGGGGATTTTCCATCGAAAGGAAAATATAGTCTATGACTAGGCTTAATCCCTGTCTGCAAAACCAGCCCTACATATGTTATTTTGATGAGTTACTTTGTGAGGACAATGAAAATACAGAAAATGCAGGTAGTCACCACTGGTGATCATGTTGAAAATATGTTGAAATAACTAAAATAACTGTCGGTTTTATGGAAACCAACTCACTTCATTTTACTTTATTTATTCATATATTTTGAAATAATCGGTTTCTTCAAACCACTTTAGTAAACAGAGCTTCTCACAGTAGAAAATACAGCGCTTATGTGATAGTTTTATCATTGTTAGTTTATACCTAGAAGACTGCATTAAAACCCATAAAAAAAGAAAATAGAAAGATGCTCCATAAGAAAATTATTATTGTAAAACTGGTCAAAAAAATCTCTGTCTGCAAAACCAGCCCTCCATGTGATATTAGTTACTGGGTTAGGACCATGAAAATGCAGAAATTGTACTGAAATTATATTGAAACTGTGTTGAAATAACGAAAAGAACTACCATTTATTGAGAACCAGTGAAGATACTACAGGAGGTAACCAAAGAATTATTCCGTAGATGAGAGTTCTGCGTCATCATACTTGGATTTGCATTTTTTAATGTGAAAAATGTTGAGTAGCAAACATTTATGATGAAATATAAACACTATATGGGGCATATAACACTTAACTCTTAGCTTAAATCTGTTAGACGGTGAAACATAAAGACGTAAAAAATTCAGCGAAGCTAATGTTATGTATGAAGGTGGACAAATAAGAGAAAAAAATCATAGTGTAGCCTGCGTGTACATACAAACAACAAAAGTTCACTCCTAGTCAAATTGATTTTCTAAGTGAAAATACGTGAACACATCCTCTTCCACAAATTTTAGTGCACGATTTTTTTATATTTTATATATTTTTATATATTTTTTTCTCTGATGAGTAAATAAACAGTAATTTGGTATAAAAAAAAATATGGAGAAGTTGTTCTCTGTATAGGATGTCTTAACTTATTTTCACTTAGAAAATCAATAAAACGTCATTTGCTTGAGAGTGCCTAAACTTTTGCATGCGAGTATGAAAAATCAAGATACGTAAAGATTCATTTTGTAATCGCATCATGGCAGCCTGATTAAAAATCGAATTATAAGGTGCTAAGAAACTTTCACCCCTGGAACACACAGAATTTTGACTCTATGATGTAGTAATGTGCTTCGGTATAAGAATCCTGAAGTTTTAATGTTATGTATTATTAAGAATTTCAGTATTGCTCTTCTTCTTGACTTCATTCCAATAGTGACAACCCCTGGACCTCCAAGCCCTGAGTCCACTGCTTGGTTGTTGTGGACAGCCTCGACGCTGGTGTGTGTTGCGCTGGTAATCGTCATAGCCACTGCATGGCTATTCCGCAGAAAAAGAGGTATTGAAACATCTCTTTAGGTTATACTTTCTGACCACGACACACAATAGCAATAAAAACACAGGTTCCTACAGCCAGACTGACTGGCTTCCAGACTTTAAAGGAATACTTCTGCATTTTTCAACCTCTTTTCGTTCAATTTCTACCTGCTGCGTCTGTAGCATACGGTCAGTTACTATGGACAGTAATTCTGAGGTGTTTCACTGGTGTTTCTAAGGTTTTCTTCTGTTCTTTACTGTACAGTAAAAAACAGAAAGCCTGTTGATCTGAAATATGCTTATAATGGAAGCCAATGGGCAGATGCTAAAGCAATTGCCCATATTTGTCCATAATAAGTGTGTTTTGAATCAGTGTTTTCTGTTTTTTTTACTGGCCACCAGATTTTACATTTTGGACACTAAAAATGCAGAGATTGTGGCCCGAGTGGCCACTTGGCTTGGATTTTTATATACTATTTCCCTTTTAACAAACTTGTTTGGTTGGACTAACCAGACAAAAGAGTAACCACCTTGATAGTTGCCTTGATATAACATGGTGGTGTGGTGACCGTGACCATGATGGCTCCCCTGCCGAGGCCACTTGGCGTTAGATATGCTGACATTTGCTTGTATCTGTCTATGAAATAAGGAGTTAAATAAGCTAGGGTTACACTGCTGCAGTAGCAAAACAGTACCTTATATTATAACCTAGACTGGATGGTGGCAGGACCACCACGGTCACCACAGTTGTTATAATTGTAGTTTTCAATAAAACTGTCCTTTTTCAGAGCATCACCAGACTGGTTTTTTGCCACAAGATCCATTGGCTTGGTGGCCCGAGCGGCCAGTGTGCATTTTTATCTGTCTACCCCCAGTATATTTTTAAGTCAACAGATTTTCTGTTTGTTTTCTAAGCACTGGGAAATGCGTCAACGTTACTACCTGTAGAAACTGCCTGTATGCTACAGATGCACCAGGTAGAGATTAGATTAAACAGGAGTATTCCTTTTATAACACTAGACAGAAAACAGCAATGAAAGCAGGAGGTATGATCACTGAACGTGGTTGCATTTAAAAAAAAGTCATGCACCCCGAGAGCTAGGCTTGTGTTCGAGGTCAGGCGTGCTCTTTCCTGGGACGTGGTGGAGCGCTGAATGAGCGTGTAGGTGGTGTGTGGTTATGAAGACTCAGACTGAGATGTAGACGAATATGTCAGATATGGTAGGGTGCTTAAGTCTATCTGTGGTAACACTGCTGGTGTGCAGCGTGTGAATGCAGAGCGAGCTGTCCTCTTTTCTGAGACCCTTATCTTGCAAAGTGCATAGCTGACCATTTGATAAAACTGATAAAGACTATACAAGCAGTTTGTTTTTAATCAGTTATGTTATTTGGCACATTTTACATTATTATTATTATTATGTGACTGTTCCATATAAGTCTTCGGAGTATATTACTTTATTTACATAGGACTAAATTTAACTTGCTTAATAAGTATGGCCTTGTTCTGTCTATTGGTGTTCCTAGCATTGATCAGTGAAGTCCTATTTGTTCTCTATAGGACTTTTAATTGTAACATCCTGGTTTAATCTCAGATCATTTGTCTAGTTTTAAGCATCATTGCTTTATATGATCTTATAAAGATCACCTGACGTTTCCTATGTCTCAAATCGAGTACTTACTTAGTGTGCTAGCCATTTTTAAAAACAAGAAGTGAGTTCACATTGGAAAATGAAGTAGGCTGTGGTATATTGTTAATATTCTGTTTGAGCTCACCGCAGTTATTTGAGCTGATTGCGGTTGTGTTCCACAGTTGTTAGCTTTCACAATCATATGTTTATGTTGCAACAAACAGAGCATGACTTTGGTGCCTTTTCGTCAGTTAAGAGGGAAATACATGTATATAAAAGAAAGCAGAAAACACATTCTTTACGACTTTGGGTCTTCCGAAAAAAAGCACCAACTGGCGCTTTAACACCTTTTGAGTGCAGCGCCGAGTAATGTTTGTTCATTTGAGCTTGAGCTGCGTCTGTTTTCAGTTGGACACAATTAAGTATCAACAGTTAGTAAGCAAGATCAGCCAGTTTGGGGCCACTTTAGACCTGTACTTTAATAGTTGCATACTATATTGTTAATAAGAATTATTTACATGGAAATTAATCATCACCTAATATTACATGGTCATGACAGGCCTAGTCAGCCTATGGTAGAGCAAATTCTTAGCAAATACAGTAAAGGAAAATTCCCAGTGTTTCAGATTTATGAAAATATGATACTTCATGGTGTCCATCATCTGTCCATCAGCTGAATTCCAGAGCACCTCTGCTAAAATGACAGGAAACACCTTGCTTCTTCTTAAGCATATAAAGCATGTGGACACTGCTTTGAAACTCACCTCTTTTACTTAAGTGGTACATATGTAGCAGTCTGTTAGTCTGTTAGCATGCAAGTGCGTCATTTAAAGAAAAGCAACCCGAAAGCACATGTTAACAGTGAAAACTTTCACTTTAACTGTTCAGTCATTCAGTATTGTTTATAATTAGTGATACACAATGATATTGTCATATCAACATCGGACAGCTGTTTAACTGATATTTTTATTGTACTTATATTTATTGTACTCCAGAAGAGCAGATTGTTCAGGTGATTCCTGACTGCTGAGCTAAAACATTTTTCTTACACTTTTACTCAGTTTTCATCATTTGTAATGGTAAACAAGCAAATGTTATATTTATCTGTAATGCTAACCCAGGTGGATTTAGTCTCAACTTCTACATTTCAAAAATGTTTATGTATCAGCATTGATATCGGCATCGGCAGATATGCACATATTGAATATCGGATATCGGCATCAGCAAACAATTCCCATATCAGTGCACACCTATTTATTATGTGATTTTTAGTAAAGATTTTTGTGAAATCCATTTAAAAAACGCTAAGTGAAAAAGGGTGGGGTGGGGTGGGAGTGGGGTAGCGTTGTTATATGTCTTTGTATTTTAATAACTGCATCATTATGTTCATTAGGCTCTTTGCAGTATGTGTAAAGATAAAGATTTTTATGTTAGGTAACTATGCATGTTTTAGCTGATTTTAACTTGCTAGATCAAGCTAGGTGTGATTCTATGATGTGAGGTACTGCATGGTAATTTATCATTTCTGTCTAATGCTAAATATAATTGTCAATTTGAGACAATACACCTTACAAAAATACAGACTTTAGAGAGAGAAGAACATAGTACCTAGTGTTAGAATACAGAGCATAGTGCACAACCTGAGGAAAAAAAAGTTTTTGTCTTTTGCCCTGATGAAGGCCAGCTAAGCCACGACATTGGCTTTTTTATTTTTTTACAACTGACATCTCTTAAAGGGAAATTCCACTGTTTTTTTTCTGAAATTCTGCATAATTAAATGGTTAAGTTGTAAACAAAGTTAGTCAGGGTGGTTTGATGTGAAATGCTCCATTCCAGAGAACCATAGTTAATCAGAGTTGTTCATATTGGTGGTGATAGGAACCAGACGTCTAAAGAGTTAAAGTCTCTCACGAAAGTTATAGTAAATAAAATGGCTATATTTGCATTGTAGACATTTCGACCCCAGTACTAATCAACACCCCTGTAAAGAAATCAGAGACAATAAATTCCTCTATAATGAACTATTTCACATCAAACCACTCTGAATGACTTTGTTTACATCTCAGTGATTGAACTATGTAGAAATTTGAAAAAATCAGTGGAATTCCCCTTTAATAAATAGTGATGCATTTTGAGGCGTGGTCTTTAACTTTACATTAAATTGAGTCTTCCCCTATACCTACTGAGGTATGTCTTTTTATTCGGTTTTGGGTTGAGCACTGCAATTTTCACTGTTTGTTTTTTACTTGGTTCATTGTACATTAATCTTGCTTCATAATATACAAACACCTAAAAAAAAGTGTGTGTTTTTCTAGCGAGCCCTATTTATGAGAACGCACCGGCACGTATGAAGGACCGTTCTCCTCGTCCAAGCATATCGGTGGAAAAAGGCAACCTGACGAAGCAAAGAGACCCTCCGAGATCACATTACACAAGTCGTCCCAAAGGCCGACACCTGAACCCATGAATACAAACGTATGTGGACTCTCTTCTCTGATCCTTATCTGTTCATTGTGCAACGTTCTGCCACTGGATGACTGAATCCAGATCAGCACAAGCTTCGTTCAGGTTCGTTTGGCATGAAAGACGTCTGTCAAAAAGAAGAATTAAAGAATGATTTCTTTTCTTAAAAATCATTTAAAATAAAGCACACACAAATTAATAGATGCAATGAAAAATGAATAATAAATGAAATCAACACAAATCAGTATATTCACACAGTGATGCATTAATGAATGTTTGTAGAAACAGTGATGATTCAGAAAGCTAAATAATATTCTATATAAATATTAACAAAGGTCAATAAAAATGTTTTTAAAATATATATATATTTAATAAATCAGTACAACTGTGTGTTGTGTGCATTTCATTCTTGGTCTTTTGCAGGTCAGCTGTATATTGTGAACATTTTTTGCATTCATTTCATTTATTTGTTTTTTATTTAATTCTTTTTTCCTTTTTGCAGAAAGATTGTTGCTATAGAAACATTATTGCTGAAGAAACATTATTGGAGGTTAGCAGACATGCTAGAGTCTTTTACAGGTCATCTGTATATCCACGTCTGCACATTAAACATTCCTTAACTTTTTTATTCTGTTGATAATTTTACTGTATTTTATGTTGATATTTTATTATTGTTATTTTATTATTACTTTTGCTAAAAGCAAGTGAACAAATCAGCTCTATTTGGAACATCTGCTACCAGTCATGGCAGACACTACAAAGTCGCTCGTGGAACACTAATACATCTTTGACACACAAGAGAAAAGTGGACAGTTGGAGATATTGCCTAGTCAGTGCTGCCACCCAGTGGATTTGCTCCAGTATTGCGCTGCAGTGTTGCTTAAAAGCACTTTGGTTGTATCAGACTGGACTAAGAAAAACTTGTTAATCACACTTCAACCATTTAGAGCCCATGTGTCAAACATAAGTTAGGCTCGTGGCACAATCCTATTCGGCCCGCAAAATTACTTTAATTTTCTATTGTTATTAGCCCGTTTTACCTTGAGATGCACTACAATCCCCAGCATGCACTGCAACGTGGGCCAGCGGTTACACAAAAAGAAAATATATCTGGTGTTTAGTTAAAGCAAACAGGCAGTTTTGAAAAAAAAACTACCTAAAACAATTTATTTAGAATTATTTTTGAATATTGTTGCAGTTTTGGCATATTTTGAGTGGTCCGTTCTGGTCATGGCAAAATGTTAAGTGCAAATTAAGTAAAAACACAGATGGCCCACAGATTTGCTGAGATTTTTTAATATGACCCTTTTAGAGGTTGAGTTTGACACCCCTGATTTAGAGCATCAATTAGACTTGAAAAAACAATGTTTTTATGACTTTTTTTTACTTAAAACGTCGTGTGTATATATATATATATATATATATATATATATATATATATATATATATATATATATAGCAACAGCATGAAACAGTAAACCAATACACCACACGATCACATAAATACGTAATTATCCAGGCATGAAAAAAACATAAGCATACCAGCCATACATATATGGTTTTTAAATAGAGACTGAAATTATTATACTGATAAAAATGACGACTTGCAATGTGATAGATGATGACATTGTCCAAAGTCTCAAATAGTCTCAAAATAGCAGTGTAACCATTACTCTCATTCTAATGCACTGTAGATGCTGTTGCCATGGCGTTATGTTAAAAAAAAAATCCACAGAATCTAAACTGGTCTTGTTTATGAGAAATTCTGTAGTAAGCCACAGTTTTTTTTTTATTAAGTTGGTGCGTATAGATTTTTTAAGAGGTGTTATAACACCTTGTGAATTTAGGTTGATATTCTTCTGTGTGTGCTTTGTGGGGTTAGGGGACACAATACGTTCGAAAGGACTTAATTTGCTTCGTTTAAGACGGTGTTTAAGGGCACATGCCTTCCTTCATTGCACTAGACGAAGAACCGCCTTTTACCTGCGGTCGCCCCCTTCAGACGAAGTGAAGGGAACAAGGGAAGACGCTGCGGAGTGGAGCGCAGCCAACGCTACACCACGCCGTACACACGTTTAAAGACTAGCACCTGGGAAAAGTCGTGTTTTGGTCTCCGGAAGTAAACGTTCTTTTCTTTGCTGTAAATCCCAGTTTTATTGGTAAGACGTGAGACACGGTCGACTGTGCCATTTTATATGGATAACGGAATTATTATTTTTTTATTTTGTTCGCTTCTGTTATAGTTAGCTAGCTAACCTTAACTGTTACCTGTCGTGAGGAAGGCTAGTTAACTGACGCCCTCCCGGACACTAAAGGTAAGTCGAGTACCCTGTTTGTCTTGTTTGCCGGTGGCTAGTTTCCTTAAGTACTTAGCCAAAAGTGGGTAAACATGGTTTAGTAAACAGGTGTTGTTGGTTTTCATGTGACTAAATGGAAACGTTGGTGGCTAACATTTAACCTTAGATAGCAGGTTAAAGGCGGCTTTTAACTAAGTGTTTTAGTACCACAGTCAGTCTGTTTTCTGTATATGTTGTGTATCACCAACTTTGTAGAGACTTTAGGCAGCTCTTTACACCCACGGTTCTACATCATGTTTGTCCTCCTCTAACACACCTGATTCAGCTAATGGCGGGATCTTGAGACACAGCACATGACAGAGCTGTACCATCTATTTTAACAACTTTATATATATATGCAGAATATTTTTATAGAGTATAATTATCAGATGTCTGAGCTGTTTTGTGATATTAAGATTATACTTTTAACCAGTTGAAGTTTCCTAAAGCTGCGTTTGGTGTATTATGCCTTCTCTCTCTGTGTCCATTGCGTCTATATTTATATGTAGGCTAGTAAATAGCCTAGTAGGCATTAAATAGGCTAATGTAAGTCTTAATAGTTTACTTTGCAAGTTACTGTTAATGTTTTCAGTGTAGTAGGAGGCTTCTTCAGAAATGTGTACTGTACCGCAGTGGCCAGAACTTCTTTAGTCCTCAGTGTGTGGCGAACTGAGAATGAATTTCCGGTGAAATTCAACTCAGCAGTAAGAGATTCTAAAGAATTAGTGTGTTAATGTGTTAATGAAAAGTTTATAGTCAAGCTTTTTAATTGTTTTTGTTGTTTTTAATTTATTTTTGCTTTTGTTGGAGTCTGATTTTACTCTCACCTTTTGTAAAAGCTCTCAAACCATCTGTCCCAGCTTATATTATCATGACATTTGAATCCTTCTGGATTATATAAAGGAAGTATGATTCAATTGGCAATTGTTCACTGTATCATTGTACAAATGTCCATATCATAATTTATCATACACACGTATGATTATTGATTTATTTCATTTCCAGTCAAAGCAGCCAGTAAGTACAAGCTTACTGGTTGCTTTATTGTTCAGGGTCAGGAGAAAGAACCTCAGAAAACACACTATTAATTACAGCTTCAGCAACTAAATTTGGTTTCAGTATTAAGTTTGTCACTCTTCTTTATTACAGCTTCCTTTTTTTAGGAGACTTGCTTTCAGTTTTTTTTTTTTTTTAAAGAAACCTACAGGGATATTTTTCCACATTTCTAAAGTTCAGTCTTAAAAGCTGGTTGCATTTTCTAATTACAAATTTAGATTCACCAGTCGTTACGCCCCATCTTGTGTTGTAGGGAAATTTTTTGTTTTATCCTTTTTTTTATTTAGTTTGTTTAGTTTTGTTTTTGTTTTTTGGTCTAATTTCCTTTTCTCAGCTTGAGACAGCTGCACATCTTTTTTTCAAATCTGAAGCAGCAGTAGAGCTTTTTTTAGTTCTCTTTTTTTTTTTCTTGTTTCCTCTCTCACAAAGATGAAAGCTTTAGGTCCTGTTTATCTGATAGCGACTGTTATCGTGGCCTGCGAAGTCTTGTGTGATCTCTGTAGCTTTTAATAATTCTTTGAATTCTAGTTTTGGAAACTCCTGGTGATTTCTGACAATTCTGTATATATTCTCATTCACTCTTACACTCAAGGAACCCTTTGCATGACCAGTGAAAGATTATTTGCATCGTGAAAAGGTTCTTCAGATTTGTGGAGAATGTGCTGTAGATGGTTCTATATAGCAATTTTTTAAGAAGGGTTCTATATAATACCAAAAAGTGTTCTTCTATTGTTACAAGCTTGCCAGTGTTACAATAGCAGAACACTTCTGGGTGCTGTGTAGAATCCTTTCCAAAAAGGTTCTGTATAGAACCATCTGCAGCATATTGTCCACAAATCTGAAGAACCCTTTCATGATGCAAAGAACCTTTTAATCAGGCAAAGGGTTCTTTGAGTGTTCATGAAAGTACCATCTTTTTTTTCATACTTATATTTCATTGCACATGTTTATCTTGTACATTTCTTAATAGTGCATTGAGGCGTGTCAAGCATGTGTACTCAACCGGACAGATTAATCATATGTGTGTAACATACCTTGCGAAATAAACCTGATTTAACCAGATTAAACCAATTAAGACCACAGTCTCAGATTTTCGTTTTGTCCTGCCCTGACTTGTCTGCGTTCATGGCTTTTAAAACGTCCATGTCTTAGAGCAGGTCTGGCAGCTTGTAATATCTTACTCACCACCACCTACACGTTTACTGGTTTTGGCAGGTTTACCTTATCTACTACTGTCTTAATGCGAATACTATTTGGCACCTGCCAAACATGGAACCAAAGACAAAGCCTCAGAACAAAAACCTGGGCCTGCAAAGCTAATTAGTCTTCTCACCTCTGAGGAGTCATAATGGGTTCATTTTATCGATAAGTTTGTTCTGACTGCAGCTGAAATCACTGAGATAACATAACAAAGAATTGGGTGTATTTTCTAGTGCCGAGATTTCGCAACATTACCGTAACACAGTGAAAACAAGCTTCCTCCCACAGTCCTCCTGCATCAGTAGATTAGACCAGTGCTCACTATACTTAAAGCTGTCAGGGTGGGAGGATTTTATTGTAAACTTTTTTAGGAACACTGTATTTTCTGGGACAAAGTATCCTGAGTCAGAGGCTTGTGTCTTCTGAAGCC